CCCCAGGCCCCCCCTCCCCCAGGATTATTTTGATCCCGCGGATTTGGGGGAGCCCGAGCGCCCCGAGGAGCTGGAATATGAGGTGGGGGTCCTGGGGAGGGTCCTGGACCTTTTGGGGGGGGGGTCCTGAATAATTTGGGGGGGTTCCTGAATAATTTGGGGAGGTTTGGGGGGAATTTTAGAGAGTTTGGGACCCCCAGATTTGAAAAAAAATGGAGCCAAAAATGGAATTTTTGGGGAGGGGGGGAATTGGGAAATTGGGGAGGGGTCCTGGATTTTTTGAGGGGGGGGTCTTGAGTCATTTTGGGGGGGGTTTGGAGGGAATTTGAGGGGGTTTGGAGAAGTTTGGGACCTTCAGGAATGAAAAAAACGGAGCCAAAAATGAATTTTTTGGGGGAGGGGGGAGTTGAGGGGAGGGGGTGGGAAATTGGGGAGGGGTCTGGGGGTCTCAGGGGGGTCGCGGGGGTCCCCCTGACCCCCTGCCCCCCCCTCCCAGGAGGTGGAGCTGTACAAAACCAGTCACAAACTGGGAATCACCGTCTGCTACCGCACGGACGGCGAGGAGGACCCCGGGATCTACGTGGGGGAGGTTTGGGGAGGGGTCTTCAAATTTGGGGAGGGGGTCTCTGTCTCTAAAGATAATCCTAAAAATCGTTAAAAAAAAAATTCCCCCCCAAAAATTGAAAAAAAAGGCTCCAAAAAATTTAAAAAATGGAGTCAAAAATTAAAGAAAATTCAAATTTTGCACTGAAAAATTCCCCCCCAAAATCTCCCTAAAAATCCAAAATTCCCCCCAAAAAGTTTCCCCGAAATCCCCCAAAATTCCCAGAAAAATCCCTAAAAATAAAACAATCTCCCAAAATTCTCTGAAGTCCTCAAAAAATCCCAAACAAATCCTAAAAAAAACCCCAAATAAATCCCTAAAATAGTCCCTAAAAAATCCCCCACAATTCCCAAAAAAATCCCAAAATATTCCCCCAAAAAATCCTTAAAAAATTCCAAAAAATATCCCCCAAAACTCAAAAAAAAAAATCCCAAAAATTTCCAAACAAATCCCAAAGAAATCCCCCAAAAATTCCAAAAAATCCCTAAAAAATTCCCCAAAAAAAGCCCCAAAAAAAAAATCCCCCAAAATTCAAAAAAAATCCCAAAAATTTCCAAACAAATCCCAAAGAAATCCCCCAAAAATTCCAAAAAATCCCTAAAAAATTCCTCAAAAAAAGCCAAAAAAAAATCCCCCAAAATTCCAAAAAAAATCCCAAAAAATTCCCCAAAAATTCCCAAAAAAAATCCGATTTTGCATCGTCCCTTGGGGTTGAATAGGAAACCCCCTCCCCCAGTTTTGGGGACCCTCCCCAAATTTGGGATTATTTTGTGTCCCCCCTCCCCAGGTGAACCCCAACAGCATCGCAGCCAAGGACGGGCGGATCCGGGAGGGCGACAGGATCATCCAGGTGGGAATTTGGGGGGATTTGGGGGGTCCTGGAACCTTGGGGAGGGGTCTCAGGGAATGGGGTGGAGTTTTTGGGTGGGGGGTTTGGGGTGGGGGCGGCTCCAGGTGGTTTTTTTTTGGGGTTTTTTTTTTGGGGGGGGGGATTTTGGGAGTGGGGAAATATTGGGATTTTCATGTGGAGATTTTTGGCGACCCCTCGGTGCCTCCCCCACCCCAAAAAGACCCCCCAGGACCCCCCAAAATAATTCCAAAACCTCTTTAAATCCTCCCAAAATTCCTTTCCCCCTCCCAGGATCCCTTCATGGAGACCCCCGACCCTAAAAAGTCCCTCCAGAACCCCCCCAAATCCCCCCAGGACCCTTCCCCACCCCAAAAAGCCCCCCCAGGACCCCTCAAAACCCTCCCAACCCCCCCCCCCAAAACCCCTTAACCCCCCCAAATCCCTTCTACCCCATTCTCTCCATTTCGGGGGGTGGTCCCGGGGGTCTCCCCCCCCCTTTTTTGACCCCTCCCCAAATTCCCAGATCAACGGGGTGGAGATCCAGGACCGGGAGGAGGCCGTGGCCTTCCTGACCCGCGAGCAGCAAACCAACATCTCCCTGCTGCTGGCCCGGCCCGAGAGCCAGGTGGGCTCCAGAAAATGGGGAGGGGTCCCCACACACCCCGGGGGGCGTCCCGGGTCCTTCTGGGGGGGTCCCGGGTCCTTCTGGGGGGGTCCCGGGTCCTTCTGGGGGGTTTGGGGGGAATTTCTGGGAGTTTGGGAGCACCAAGGATGAAGGAGAAGGAACCAAAGTGAATTAAATTGGGGAGAGGGCGGCTGGGAAATTGGGGAGGGGTCCTGAGGGAGTCTGCCAGAATTTGGGGAGGGGTCCTGAGTCTTTCTGGGGGGGGTCCCGAGTCTTTCTGGGGGGTTTGGGGGGAATTTTTGGGAGTTTGGGAGCACCCAGGATGAAGGAGGAGGAGGCAGCGAGGATTGAGCTGAGGAATTTGGGGAAGGGGAGCTGAGGGAGGGGCGGCTGGGAAATTGGGGAGGGGTCCTGGGAGTGTGTCCCAGAATTTGGGGAGGGGTCCTGAGTCTTTTTAGGGGGTCCCAGGTTTTTTGGGGGAATTTCTGGGAGTTTGGGAGCACCAAGGATGAAGGAAAAAGAACCAAAGTGAATTAAATTGGGGAGGGGGCGGCTGGGAAATTGGGGAAGGGTCCTCGGGGGAGCCCCCAGAAATTGGGGAGGGGTCCTGAGTCTTTTTGGGGGGAATTTGGGGTGAATTTTTGGGAGTTTGGGATCCCTGGAGATGAAGGAAAAGGAACCGGAATTGATTTGGGGAGGGGAATTTGGGGAGGGGTCGCGGGGGTCCCTGACGCCCCTCCCCCAGCGATGGAAGGACAGCGACCGCGAGGATTTCCTGGATGAGTTCGGATCCGATGAGGAGGGGGAGCTCAGGGGGGCCTGGACCCCCCCCGGGCAGGTGAGAAATGGGGAAAAAATGGGAAAAAATGGGAAAAACGGGAATTGGGGGAGGGGAAAATGGGGAAAAAAACGGGAATTGGGGGGAAGATGGGAATTGGGAGGGGTTAAAATGGGTCTGGGGGATTCCAGGGGAGTGGGGAAGGGGCTGGAGGGGTAAAAAATGGGAATGGGGAGGGGGAAAAATGGGAATTGAGGGAGGGGAAAATGGGAAAAAATGGGAATTGGGGGGAAAATGGGAATTGGGAGGGGGAAAAGTGGGAATGAGGGGGCTTAAAATGGGTCTGGGGGTTTTCAAGGGAGTGAGGGAAGGGATTTGAGGAGGGAAAATGGGGATGGGGGGTTAAAAAATGTGGGGAAAACGGGAATTGAGGGGAAAATGGGAATGGGGGGGGTTTAAAATGGGTCTGGGGGATTCCAGGGGAGTGGGGAAGGGGTCGGGAGGGAATTGGGGAGGGGGTCCTGGGGGCGGTAAGAGCTCCCCGGGGGGTCGATATGAATTGGGGTGGGTGGTCCCGGGGGTCCCGGCTCGCTGCCCGCGGGGGTCCCTCCACCGACGCCCCCTCCCCAAATCCCGCAGCCCCCCAGCCCCGCCACGCCCGGCCGCGGGGCCGAGCCCGACAGCGGCGTGGGGCGCACGGACGAGTCCACGCGCAACGAGGAGAGCTCGGAGCACGATCTGCTGGGCGAGGAGGGCTGCGAGGGACCCCCGGCCCAGCCCCCCCGGCCCCCCCCGCCCCGCCGGGACCCCCAAAACCCCCCGAATTCACCCCAAAACGCCGCCCGGCTCCACGCAAAACCCGGCGCTGGAGGAGCGGCCGCGCGGAGCGGCTCCGGCTGCGGGTCGGCGGGAAGAGCCGGAGGTGGAGCGGGCGGGCGGCGCGGATCGGGGTTAGGAGCGGGGTTAGGAGCGGGGTTAGGATCGGGATTAGGAGCGGGATTAGGAGCGGGATCGAGCCCGGGGTTGGGCCCGGGGCTGCCGGGCTCGGTGTCGCCGCCTCCCGCCGCTCTGAGCCCCGCGGAGCTGCGGCGGTACCGAGCCCTGCGCGGAGCCGGAGCCGCGGGCCGGGCCGAGCTGGCTCGGCTGGAGGAGGAGCTGCGACATCTGGAATTCAAATGTCGCCACCTCCTGAGGGCCCAACAGCTGGAGCGGCTCCGCGAGCGGGGCCGCCGGGCCTGGCGCGACCCCCGCCCGGGGGTCGAGGGTCCTTTGGCCGATATCGCCGAGGCTCCGGAGCGCGACAGCACCAGCGCCTACAACACGGGCGAGAGCTCCCGCAGCTCCCCGCTGCTGCTGCGGGCCGGGCTCGGAACCGCCGGCACCGCTCCCCCCGCTCCCCCCGGCACCGCCAAAGGGCCCCGGGGCAAACGGCCCGGCCGGGACCGGCTGCTGAAGGCTCGGGCCATCAAAATCCTGGAGGAACGCGGAGGCTCCACCGATGACGACGCGAGGAGCGAGCTGAAAACCGGGCGCTACTGGAGCCGCGAGCAGCGCAAGCAGCACCTGGCGAGGGCTCGGGAGCAGAGGAAACGCCGGGAATTGCTGCTCCAAGCTCGGCCGGAAGGTTCCGGGGGTCTCGGGGGTCTCGGGGGGGTTGCGGAGCCCCCCCAGCAGCAGCAGCAGCAGCAGCAGCACGGGCAGGGGTCGCGGCGGGGGCTGCGCAAGAGGAGCCGCCGTATCCTGGATAATTGGGTGACGATCCAGGAGATGATGCTGGCTCAGCACGGGGGGCGCTTGGAGCATCCCCTGCTCTCCGTCACCACCGTGTGACCCCCGCCCCAAAACCCGCCCCAAAACCCACCCCAAAATCCTCGCACCGAGGACAAACCCCCCCCCTTCCCCTCCCCCCTCAGCGTTGTCGCCTCTTTGTGTCCCCTTTGTCCCCTCCCCCACCCAAGCACAAAGTGAGGGGGGATCACCCCCTCCCCCCTTTATCCCCCCCCCACTTTATGTCGTGTCTGTGGCCGTGCTTAGTTTGGGGTTATTTAGGGATTTTTTTAGGGTTTTTTTACACTTTTGTCGCTTCCTCTTCTCAGCCCGGGCTTGGTTTGGGGGGGTCCTAAACCAGCCCTGGGACCCCTCCCCACAAAAAAAAACAACCCCAAAATTCTGGGGTGTTCCCCTCCCCCACCTCTGTGTGTGTCCGTCGGGGGAGGGGGGGGAGGAATTTGGGAATTAAGGAAAAAAACAAGGAAACCTCGTTTTTACTCATTTCACCCCTTTTTGTGTCGCCTCGTGTTTGGGGGGGTGGGAAATCTTGGGGACCCCCCCCCCCTCAAAAATAGGTGTGGGGGAGGAGGTGATAAAACTTGGGGAACCCCTCCCCCAAAAAAACAAACCCGGAGTGACAAAATCTGGGGACCCCTGACCCCTCCTGGGGACCCCAATGGAGGAAACTTGGGGACCCCCTGACCCTTCCCCGAATTTCCAGGACCCCCCCCCCAAAACCCCACGAGGCAGAATTTGGGGACCCCACCACTTCAGAGACCCCCAAACCCCCCAAAAAGGCACCACCGACCAAGGAACAAAAACCTTTAATTCCACCGAGCCCCCCAAAGCCACCCGGGCCCCTCCACGTCCTCGGGTTCCCCGCGGATTTTGGGGGTTCCCCGCGGATTTAGGGGGGGTCCCGGGGTATTTTGGGGAGGATCTGGGGGGTCTCAGGCGTGCAGAGCCCTCCAGCGATCCAGGGGACCCCGGGCCGGGACGTATTTGACGCCGCAGCCGTCGGGGATGAGGCGTTTCTGGGCCACCATCTCCTCGAAAGCGTCGGCGTTGAACTTGGTGAACCCCCATTTCTTGGAGATGTGGATCTGGGGGAACCCCAAAATCAGCTCAGGGACACCCCAAAAACCCCCCCGAGGTCAAATTCGGGGGTCTGCAGGGTCTCCCCCCACCCACTCATTTCGAGGCTTTTGGTTCCCGTTTGAAGTTTGGGTTTTTCCCGCGTTGGTGAATCCCAAATTCCTCGGAGATGTCGATTGGGGGAACCCCAAAATCAGCTCAGGGACACCCCAAAATCGCCCCACGCTGAAATCTGGGGCACCCCAAACCCTCCCAAAACTTTTTGGCTCCCCAAAAACCCCCCAAAATTCTGATTTTGCCCCTCCCAGTCTCCCCCACCTCCTCTTTCTCCCCCCATCCTCCCACCCCCATCAACTTCGGGGCTCCCCAGGACCTCCCGACCCCCCTGTAAATTTTTTGGGGGGGTCCCCCGAGCTATTTCGGGGTGTCCCGGGTACCTTTTGGCGCCCGGGGAATTTGAACTTTGCCCTCCTGAGCGCCTCCACCACGTGCTCCTTGTTCTGGGCCTTGGTGCGGATGGACATGATCACCTGGCCGATGTGAACCCGAGCCACCGTGCCCTGCGGCTTCCCGAAGGCTCCACGCATGCCCGTCTGCAGCCTGGAGGAATTTGGGGAGGGGTCGGCACGGGGGAAGACCCCAGAGCCACCCCCGGCAAGGGAATGAGACCCCAGACCCATTTACAGAATGAGTTCTCTATCTCCAGTCCCCTTAGAAGTGAAGAGTGGAACCCAAAACCAGCCCCAAATCCTGATCTGGATTCTGGGAATGGGGAATTTGGGGAGGGGGTCGGTGCTGGGGAGACCCCAGACCCATCCCAGGAAACTGAATGAGACCCCAGACCCATTTACAGAATGAGTTCTGTATCCACTGTCCTGTTAAATGTGGGAGTGGGATCCTAAACCAGCCCCGAAATCTCACTCTGGACCCTGGGAATGGGGTTTGGGGAGGGGTCGGCACAGGGGAGACCCCAGACCCACCCCAGCAAAGGGGCAGAGCCCCCAGACCCATTTAGAGATCCCAACCCAGCCCTAAAATCCCCTCAATCCAAACCTGGACCCTGGGAATGGGAATTTGGGGAGGGGTCAGCACTGGGGAGACCCCTGGAGACCCCAGACCCATCTCAGGGGGGGGAGGTTTAAAGCCCCCAGACCCATCCTGAAGGGAATTTCGGTGCCTCCCAGGACAATTTTATTTCCACCAGGAATTTTTTGTGCCCCCAGTTGGATTTTTGTGCCCCCCAGGAGGATTTTTGTGCCCCCAGTTGGATTTTTGTGCCCCCCAAGAGGATTTTTGTGCCCCCAGTTGGATTTTTGTGCCCCCCA